GAATGGGAAAGCTGTGGCCTACCAGCTGCTGACCTCTCATGGCTTCCAGGTTCAGATCGGTGAGGTCGAAGGGGCTTTCCTCGAGGCAGATCCCACCAAGCGTGAGGGCGGCGACCTGTACCTGCAGCAGCCGCGCGGAGGCATTCTAGGACTCCATCCCGACCAGCTGCTGAAGGTGATCAGGCCGATCTTCGGCTTCAACGACGCCCCGCCTCAGTGGTGGGAAAAATTCAGAGACACCGTCCTGGACTGAAGCCGAGCGACGGGTGTGAGAGCTGGCGTCAATCCAAGCTGGACCCGTACCTGTTATTTCTGTTCAAAGGCCGGCGCTTGCAAGGACTGATATTGACGCATGTCGATGACATCCTGACCGGTGGAAAAGGGAACAAGTACGACGCGTTCATTAGCTTCCTTCGAGAGAGGTTCCCCTTGCCCAAGTGGAAGGTCAATGAGGGGAAGTTCTGCGGCTCCTATCTTGTCCAAAATCCCGGGTCCATGGAAATAACTGTCTCTCAGAAGGAGCTTGCCGAGTCCACGAAGCCAGCTGGTGTGAGGTCCCGAGCTTCCCCCGAGACCCCGGCAACCGATAAGGAGATCGCGAACTTTCGTGCCATGCTGGGGTGCGGCAACTGGCTAGCCCTGGAGTCCAGGCCAGAACTGGCGGTCCAGGTTTCGCTGAGTCAGCAGTGCGTGCCGAGGCCGAATGTGGGGGAGGTGAGACTCGGGAACTGGAATTTTCGAACCTGTCCTGGAAGAGATCCGATCGTGAGACACGATCGTGAATTCTCGAGACACGATCGTGAGATCCGATCGTGAGACACGATCGTCCTGTCCTGTCGGTGAATTCTCGAGGCACGCAATTTTCGAGCCTGTCCTGGAAGATCAAGCCCGTTCCGATCGATCGACTCCGAATTCTCATGCCCGCCGACGCGTCGAGCCAGGACACCTCGAAATCCGGGGCCCAGGCTGGTTAATGTCATCGCCGCGACCGACGTGAACATGACCCGAGACGAGCTGAGCCCGGGGAACCCTCTGGCTTGGAAAAGCTGTGGCCTTCGCCGTGTCATTTCGTCGACCTCTCGCGGCTGAGATCCAGGCCCAGATGAACGGTGTGGGTCACCTCGAGTGGATTTCGTGCCTGCTCCTCGAGGGCATCGACGGGGAGTTTTGTCTGCGTCGACGGTCAGAGTATCTCCCACAACTGACTCCCATCGCCGTCACAGACTGCAAGTCGTTGTACGATCACATCATGATCGGCTGTGGGAGCACGGGGTCATGCTCGGACAAACGGCTGGCTGTCAATCTGGTCAGGACCAAGGAGAGCGTGAAGCGCCTAGGAGTAAGTTATCGATGGGTGCCGTCGGCTCTACAGTTAGCAGATATATTGACTAAAGACAAAGCCGAGCCAGCCGACAAGTCGTGGGCTACGAAGACTAGCAGGAAATATCAATTAGTCAACGAGTCAGCAGTCATGGCCGCAGCAGCCCAAGAGCCTGTCCGTCGCCAACTTCTTTCGGCCCGTAGCAAGAAGGAGCGGGCCGGTTGCAAACCATCACCGTCTGCGCCCGGCCATGGTCAAGTTCGAGAGCATCCAAGTGGAGCCGACTCGCCACTCGGAGACGACGTGCAGGGTCGTGACCAACATGTACAGTCTGCGGGATCCAGAGACCAAGCAGGTGCGCTACACGGCGACGCTGACCTGGAGCAAGGGGACGAGGAACATCGATATCAGGACGGTAGTGATCGCCGAGGATGCGGCTCTGCTGCGCATGCAGACCCAGCACGGCGTGTACTGCTACACGCTGGACGGCAAGGAGCTGGAGACGACGGAGGACACGGAGAACGTGGTCGAGGGCCTGCGCGTGGCGGCCGAGCGCTTGTACTGCGATGTGCCGGACCAGTCGGACACGAGCGCGGGGAGCGTCATAGCGCCCCAGATGCCAGACGATGCGGAGCTCAAGCAGGCGATCGAGAACATGCTCGAGTGGGGAAACCAGGAGCTGGCGAACCACGAGGACCAGCGCGTGAGGTGGATCTAGCCGATGGTTCGTGAGTTCACGGCCCCGTGACTACTTGCTCCCGCAGGTGAGCGAGGGCATGGAGATCGGGGAGGGCAAGCCGCCGCCGCAGCCGGCCGCGGACGCCTCTTCTGGGCCGTCGGCGGGCGGGGGGGGACGAGCGATCCCGTCCAAGAAGTGAGCGTGAATGGAGTGAGTTTCGTGCGGCCATCTGGGGACCGCTGCAGCCTCAATGACGCATATTTGTTTGTTTTTAGTCAGTGCTAATCTCAGGGCCTGCTGGGCCCATTACGTGTTCAGGCATGTGTATGCTACGCATGCGTATGTATAATGCGCGTGGTGATGCTGCAGCATTTTGGCTTGCCACAGGAGTGGAAAAGAGGGTGCGGGTGCCCCCTCCTCGGAGCCATATCTGCAGGATGTCAGCCTTGTGTGAGAGGATTCGGGTATAGCAGCAGGCCGCAGATGCCGCTTCAAGAAGCTAAGTTTTGTGCAGAGCTCGAGGCTCTGTGACTTCCGTCCAACGCTGGCGGTGACGGCACATTTTATTGCGCCAAAGCAATCCCCCGCCGCCGGTTGCCGGCTCGTCCGAGGCCCGCGCGCGGCGGCGTCGCGCCCCCCCTGCCTGGTTGCCGTTTCGTCCGAGGCTGGAGCAGGGCGGGCCGCGCGCCTGCGCTCGCGGGTAGCGATCTGGCATCTCAATGCTGTGCACTCCCCCCTTCGTGTGTTCCGTTTCGTTCCGTTCCTCCTGATCATCATCATCATCAGCAACATGATTATGATCGTGATCATGATCATGCTCATCATCATCATCATCATCATCATCAGCATCATCATCATCATTATCATCATCATCATCGTCGTCGTCATCATCATCATAATCGTCATCATCATCACCGCCATCACCACCATCATTATCATCATCATGATCATCATCCGCACCATCATCAGCATCATCATCAGCATCATCGTCAGCATCATCCTCATCATAATGAGCACCATCTTTGTCATCTGCATCCTTATCATGAACAGGACCACCACCATCATCAGCATCATCAGCAGCATCATCACCATCATCACCATCAGCAAGAGCAGCAACATACGCATCATCATCATCATCATCATCATCATCATCATCATCGACATCAGCAGCATGGTCAGCATTCTTAGCATCCTCCTCCTCCTTCTTATCATCATCCTCAAGCTCATCTTCCTCCTTCTCCCCGTCATCATCATCAGCATCATCATCACCATCATCATCGTCATCATCATCGTCAGCAGCAGCATCAGCATCATCAGTTTCATCAGCATCATCAGCATCATCATCGTCATCGTGACCACCACCACCATCAACCGCCATCGTCCTCCTGCTCCTCTTCATCATCATCATGATCGTCATCGTCATCATAATCAGCATCATCACCATCATTCGTACCATCATCATCAGCATCCTCATCCTCATCGTCAGCATCATCCTCATCACAGTCAGCAACATCATCGTCATCTCCAGTCATCTCATCATTAACACCACCACCACCATCACCACCAGCAGTATCAGCATCACCACCATCAGCATCAACAGCAACAGCAACATACGCATCGCCATCATCATCCTCATCTTCATCGTCATCATCATTAGCATCACCATGAACATGATCATCAGCATTATCATCATCACCACCACCACCACCATCATCCTCATCCTCATCCTCATCCTCATCCTCATCATCATCATCATCATCATCAGCATCATCATCATCATATTCATCAGCTTCATCATCATCATCAGTATCATCAGCATCATCATCATCGTCACCAACACCATCGCCATCGCCATCCTGCTCCTCATCCTCCTCTTCCTGTTCCTCCTCTTCCTCGGCCCTTCGGCCTTGTCTCTTGCGTGCCCCTGCTCGTCGCCCTTCTAGCTCTCCTCTTTGTCTAGCTCCCCGCCGTGCTACTGTTGCCTCGAGCGGCGGCGCATGAGTTCGGAGGATGTCTCGAGCGGCGGCACTCGAATTGTGAGGATGTCTCGAGCCGCTGCGTTCGAGTTGGCGCTCCTGGCGCTCCTGCCGCTCCTGGCACTTCTGACGCTCCTGATGCTCCAGACGCTCTGGCGCTCCTGACGCTCCCGACGCTCCTGACGCCCCTGACGCCCCCGACTCTCCCAACGCTGCCTGACGCCCGACGCCCCTGACGCTCCTGACGCTCCTGACGCCCCTGACGCTCCGCTTTAGACGCCCTGGAGCGTCAGGAACGTTAGGAGCGTCAAAGGCGTCAGGAGCGTTGAAAGCGTCAGAGCGTCAGCACCTTCTTCGTGGGCGCGCTGCGCCACCACTCTGTCTCGAGCGGCGGCGCCCGAATTGTGAAGGTGCCTCGAGCGGCGGCGCCCGAGTTGTGGACGCCCCTGACGCTCCTGATGCTCCTGACTCTCTGACGCTCCTGTCGCTCCAGACGCTCCTGGCGCTCCTGGCGCTCCTGACGCTCCTGGCGCTCCTGACGCTCCTGACGCTCCTGACGCCCCTGACGCTCCCGACGCTCCCGACGCTCCTGACGCCCCTGACGCCCCCGATTTTCCCAACGCTCCCTGACGTCCGTGACGCCCCTGACGCTCCTGACGCTCCCAACGCTCTCGACGCTCCCGACGCTCCTGACGATCCTGACGCTCAGTTTAAGATTCGGTCGGGCGTGTCCCCCCACAGGCGGATCTGAGATGAAACATAGAAAACAGTCAAACAATGCACCCTAATGGTCAAACAGTGATAGAAACATCATCCCCAGACTATTTATCTCCTATTCTTGAATATTCCTGCCGTAGAGGGACATGCCAGACTTAAGCTTAAGATCGCCTCGGGAAGCCGAGGAGGAGGACGGTGGACGGGGTGCTTGAGCCAAGCGCCAACTCTAGACGGGGTGCTGAACCAGAGTGGGTCTTCGGCCTACTCCCTGCTGCACAGCTGCAGGGGGCACGGTGTCGGGGGTTGCCGAAGGCAGTTGGATGTTGAGCAAGCTGATCTGGCAGAACGCAACGAAGAATAGGAATAGGTACGAATACGAATCTCCGGCAGGTGAGATCGCGTGGTACAGCTCTATCCAATCATTCCCGCCAGTCACAGCTGCGAAAAGACTGAGGACAGAACTACTCATCGAACCGAACTTAGCGATGAGGATTTCCCTGCTATCCATCCCGTGATAACCATCACCACGCAGAGCAGGACCGTCGGTTTCGACATGTTCCTGCAGGTACGTCGTCGCACCCTGCACGAAGACAATAGAGAACATGTACATAATCAACATCATCATAGCGACACTCCAGAAGAGTGAGCGGCAAGATCCAATCAAACAATCCCAAATGAGGCGCAACTCCTTCAGAAAGTGAACGAGCCGGAAAACGCGGAACACCCTGGTGACCTTCAGAGTCCTGAGGACGCGCACGAAGCCGAGCCCCCGGGAGGTCCCCGCTGCCAGAAGCGTCTCCACGAAGTCGACCAAAACAATCACAAAATCTAACCAATTCCAGCCAGCTTCGTCGTTGCAGAAAAAATAAAGCCTGTGGACAGCTATCCGCAGGACAAGTTCTACCAGGTAGATTGTCAAGAACACGTTCTCGATAGGAAACATCCACGGAAGATCGTCGTCTGGATTCTGCGCCCGATGGTTCACAAACCATGTCATCCAACACGTGTTTATGAATATGACAAGATTGAAAAAATAGGTCGACTTCCGCTCCAGGGCCGCGAGGAAGCCCGTGCGCTCAGGCTCGCTGATGCTCATGTATGCCGAGTAATATACTTCTGCCAACACTTCCTTGGTTCTCGCGACCGACTCTGATGCACAACGGGTAACGGAATTGAGCTCCTCCAAAGAGTTCCACGACGACCTGCGACGCAGCTTGGGGCGGCGCTGATCAACTCGCTGATCAACCCGCTCGGTCGTGGCCTCGCTGACGCACTGGTGATCCTCGCCCTGCAAACCGAATCCCCGCCTGGCATTCTTGCCAAGCACCGCCGAAGTGACGGCTGGTGGCGAGACGCCCCCGCGCACCCGTGCCGCGCCGCTGCCGTGGTGCGCTCCTCCCCCTGCGGGCTGGGCAGGCGTGGGGGTCACCCGCAACGCCGTCTCCGCAGTCGCCGCACGGCTGCCGACGAGCGCCTCCGCACTGAGCCGGAGAGGCGGCATCGACGGCGCCTCTCCGGTCACCGCGCTGTCGTCACCGGGCGCTCCGGCCCCGAGCCGGGCAGAGGTCATGGTCGCCTGCGACGCCGTCTCCGTCTGCTTGCTGCCCCCGGGCTCCTGAGGGAGAGGGCAGGGGGTGCGTGAGAGGCGGAAGTGGCACGGGGGGAAGAGACGGGAGGGCAGGGGGGCAGGAGGGGTCTCTTCCTCCTCATCCTCCTCCTCCCTCTCTTCCTTCTCCTCCTCCTCCTCCTCCTCCTCCTCCTGCTCCTCCTCCTCCTTCCTCCCTGAGATCCGACAGCGCGAAAGCATTGAAACACCAAAAGAAATGACAACGGGAGCCACAGACCCCATCTCTCTGCGTCCTTTCTTTCGGGCCAGAGCGATCTGTGAGGGTCCTGGGGCACGCTTGGCGAAAACGCCTCGCCCGAAACAATTGAAACGCCAGGAGCTCAGGGTGGCCGCCGTCGCACGAGCGTCCTGTCTTGCCCGAGGGGGCCTCGGCGCGGGTTGGCGCCCCGAAGAGGCCTCGCTGAGTCGCCGGTGCGGGTGGAGCTGCAGGCCTGCCTGCTCCCCTCCTGTACTCCCCACCTGCGAAGGACGAGTGGGAGGAGGGGGAGGAGGAGGAGAAGGAGGAGGAGGAGGGGGAGGAGAAGGAGGAGGAGGGAGAGGAGGGATGGGGTTTCGTTGGTTGGGCTGCTGCCGACGGCGGCCGCGTATCTGGGACGGGTGCTTCAGAAGAGGGGTGGGGGCGGCCAGGGCAGGACGACGCCCGAACCGAGGACGGGGAGGGGGAAGAAGGAGGAGACGGACGAGGAAGAAGGGGTGGAGGGGGAGAGGGCCTGGGGGGGAGGGGAAATGGGGGGCGGGACCGAGCGGGGGGGCCAGGGGTACATGGGGTAGGAGGAGGAGGGGAGGAGGAGGAGGAGGAGGAGGAGGAGGAGGAGGAGGAGAAAGGAGGAGGAGGAGGAGGAGGAGGAGGAGGAGGAGGAGGAGGATGAGGGGAGGGAAGGGGCCGCTGCCGCCACTTCCGCTCCTCGTGGGCGGCGCGCCGCAGAAGGATCTCAGACACGAGCGCGTGGTGCCTCGCGATGTCCCTCGCGACGTCGCCCAGCTGCCGGGTCAGCTCCTCCTGTTGGCGGCGAGCGAGGGGGGGAAGTGAGAAGGAGAAGGCCTTCTCAGAAGGCGGCGGGACTTCTCAGAGCTCTCGCGCCGTCTGGGAAATTATGTTTGTCTTCGGGGACGGCTGAGACAACTTCTCAGAAGGCCGGGGGATTTAAGGCCTTCTCCTTCTCCTTCCCCCCTTCGCTCGCCGCCGATCCTGGCGCTGGCCCGAGGCCTCCATCAGCGACTGCTGCTCCTTCCACGGAGGCCATAGCTCTATGCCCGCTGCCTTCCCACCCGCCTCCAACAGGAGGAGGGGGCGACGAGGAGGGTGAGGGGTAGAGGGATCGGAGAGGGGACGACCGGCGCAACAGAAAGGGGAGCATGAGGGAGGGTAGGTGCAGGAGTAAAGGTGAGTGGAGGGGGAATGGACACCACTCAGGCATACGATTACACCCCCTCGCGCGAGCCTGGCAATCGGTCATGGGTTTCTACACGCTCTCTGGCAGAGCCTCTATCTGAAACCCTTTCTCAAAGCCTCTGCATTCACCCCACCTCGGCCAACATTTCCACTTCTTGCTCTGCACCTGGCTCTTGTCGAGGACGCTGGCGGCACTTCCCTGGCCGCTCCCGGGTGTTTGACGCACGTGAGCACGTCGTGTCGCGAGTTATCTCTTTGTATGGTTGTGGCGACGACTGACGACTGACACGTACTAGGGACGCGATGGTCGCCTCTCGATGGCCTCGCGTGCGGTTGGAGGCCGCTTGGATACCACCTGGGGGCGTCGTGAGTTTTGTGAGGGACTTCGGGGCCTGTTGGGGCCTTGTCTGGTGCCTCTTGACTGCTTCGGGGGACGTCTTGAGGGCCTACTTGAAATGTTTTGGGCCGTCTTCGGGAGCCTCTCGAGGGCTTCTGGTAGGCGTCCTGCGGGCGTGTTGAAGGTCTGGTGCCCAGTCCTGCTCCCGACGGTTCTGCCGAGTTCTCAAGAGAAGGCTCGGTTGAACTGCTGTTCTGTTGGACAGTCTGTGCGGATCTCGGGGCCGTCCTGGGGCACTCTGAAGCTGCATGTTGACACCATCCAAGATCCATAACAAATGTCTAGGCCGATGCGGTGTTTGGTGCTCCATGCTCGTACCCGGTGCGGGGGCTTCTCGGGATCTCGGGCGCGTCGCTGGCCCGTTTTGAACTGGACTCGTGGCACTGTGCAGCCGTCTGAAGGCGTTCGTGGACAACTTTGGGTTAGGGAGCCGAACAAGAGCCGGGTCAGCGCTGGCCTCATGCAACTGAACTGCTCGAGCACCACTAGGGCCGCACGAGCTCTGACCTGACCAATTGGCCAGAAGGCAACTCAATCAAGACCACAATCAGTCCAAACGGAACAGTGCTCCGCCCTCCCAGGAATCCACCTGAAGGGACTCGGGCCAGCCAGACCAAAGCGCTGACCAAATCTTTTTTCTGATTTCGATTTGGCCCATCTTCGGGCATCTGGAACCACCGGAATCGGGCTTTTGTGGGGGGTACGCAGGCAAAGTGAAGCCCCGATGGATGGACTCAGTGCGGGGGTACGCAGGCAGAGTTGAGTCCCGATGGGTGGACACAGAGAGCGTACACGGTCAGGAACTTTTGGATGGGGTGTCGCGGCGGCGGCCTCGGCGACACGCCATTACTTTCGCAAGTGGAAAGCGTGTCGCTCTGCTCCTTGGGGCGGGAGGTCCAGAAAAGCTTGGGACCGTGACGCCTCGAGACTGGGAAGCGGATCACGTGTCGCGCCGAAGTGCGGTGGGCCAGAAACGGCGGAGCGACACGCTAAGCCACAGTTCCTGATCGTAGCCAAGCGACGGTCGATTGTGCCAAACACTTGACAATATTGCCTCGCACGGCCAATTCGCCGCAGGCTGGAGCGGCCAGATCTGAAGGCGGAGCCGTTTTGGGACTACCGCGGGTTCGTGTCGTGTCGACCCTGGCATTGGATCTTGACACGGTGGGTGTTGATCAACCTGGAACGATCGACCGTTTCCGAAACGTCTGATCGTTCCACAACGACAGATTCTGGGTCGCCGGCGGCGTTCAGCGTGGAACGCCAGCGGCGGGGTCGACGCCGGTCGACACGGCGCGAACCAGGCGCTGGCCGATTGCGCCGAACACTCGACAATATGGCTTCGCACGGCCACCGCCGCTGGCTGGAGCGGCCGGGTCCACATGCGGAGCCGTTTTGGGGCTATGATGTGGCCAACTAGGAGATTTCTTTAGGGGAACAAAAAATGACATAAACCTAAAAACTCGGAGGTCCGCGCGGATTTCTCGGATCGGCGCTGGGGCCCCCCGGCGGTGCCTCCGGCGCCGCCCCTGGCGCGCTCCGCGCGCCAGAGAGGGGGCCCCAGCGCCGACCCGAGAAATCCGCGCGGACCTCCGAGTTTTATGTTTATGCCACTTTTTGTTCCCCTATTCTTGTTGGAGGCGGCCGGGGGGTCTGAACAGGTTGGGGCTCCAGAGAATCTGTCAGGAGGGGGGCTGAGGCCAAATCTGCTCAAGACCGGTCCCTAGACCCCTCCCTGGGTACATCTGGCGTGGTTCTGCACCCCGGATTTGTCTTTGACGGTCCTGGGGCCCAGGAACGAAGCAGAAGAAGGCAAAACGCAGCCTCGAGCCCAACAACTCGAACCTGCCCGCTCCTCCTGCTGGCCAGAACCGGTGCTGGGCCATCTCAGATCCCCCGCCAGCTCCAACTTTCCTGGGCTCTCTTGGGCTGGGGCTTCCGAGGGGAGGCCTCTGGATCATCCTGCGGAGCACAAGAGCGCAGCCGCGGGGCCCCCGGGGGGCCATCTTGGGAGCCCCTCGCGGGGGGCATGGCCGGTGGGCCCAAAGACCCCAGGGCCGAGAGCAGCCCGACGCGCCCACGCGCCCACGCGCCGGCCCCAGGAAACGGCGACGCGCGAGGTGCAGAGCGACCGGGCACGTCGGCCGCAGATGTACCGCGCAAGATCGGCAAGGAGGGGAGGGAGGAGGGCGACGACATGAAGCACATCCAGGGCTTCCAGAGAGTAGCCTTCACGAGCTCGAGTGCCAAAGGAACGGCCTTCGATCGCTGATCTCGAAAAGGGGGGGGAGAGGAGGCTGAGGACATGGTGAGCGAGGAGTGCGCCTCCCTGGTCAAGCCAGGAACTCGCATACACCATCTTGGCCCCTAGATGGACCTGGCCAGGATCGGTGAGGTGGTCAGTTGACGTCGACCGAGACCCAGCCTAACCAACACAGCAAGCCCCCAGAGAACAAGCACTGCTCGAGGGAAGACAAAGTGCGGCGCGCAGCGGGAGCGGCAGTCTCGTCTATCCCGCGGAGGGCGACAATCCATACCCGAACATGGGGCAAGTATCGGCCCGTGGAGAGGGCCACTCTCGCGGCGGACTCTGGGGCACTGTGGCCTATATTTTCGCACTGACACCTTCGAGGCGTCCACCACCATGCCCTTGATCTCCTCGAAGCACTTGATCTGCGAGTCTTCCCAGCCGGAGATGCGCCCCGTGAGGTCGTACCTTGGCCGAGTGGATATCCGAAGACTGTGCGGCCCCCGTACAGCACGCATCTACCTCTTCTGGCATACCGTGTCCCCTCCTTGGTCCGACCCCCCCCCCAGGGTAGGACTGCCTTGGGCTTTAGATGGGGCCCTGCACCATACGTCGTGGAAGAATGATGTGGCCGCATCGCGCGGGCGGCCAATGGACCGACCGCTCAAGCTCAATCCGGGAGCGCTGGCCTCCGCGAACTCGTCCTGGAGCGAGTGAGTATGAAGAGGAGGAGGGGCGAGGGAGGAGGAGGAAGAGGAGGACAATGTAAACCCAAGAGTCATCAACAATGTTGGAATAAACCCTACCTCCAAGCTCCCACTTTCTCCATAGGCCCCTACAACGGTTCATGGTCACCGAGGGAACTGCCTCGTCGGAAGACAACCGTGTGAAGACCTTGAAGCATACCAAAACAGTGCTCTCGGGATTCAATCGCCACGGATCAACCCGACTGTTGCGTCTTGACGATCCTGAATAATGCCAGAACGACATTCCTAGGTCTTCAACACCGCGAACCAACGTAACTGTCGCACCCTCATGATGCCGAATCCTTCCAAAACACCATTTCTGGTACGCTGATCATGGGAACCCGCGAAGCTCCTGCATCTTTGTCTAAAAGAGTGCACGCGGCGCTAAGGCGAGAACAACATGCTGAAAAAGAACCGCCCTCAATCCATGAAACTCTTGCACATCTTTTAAAACGAATGCACGCGGCGCTAAAGCGAGAACAACATTATGAGAACGGCCCGCCTTCAATCCGTGAAACTCTTGCACACGTTTAGAGCGAATATGCGCGGCACTAAAGCGAGAACCAAATTTTGAAAACCATCCGCCCTCAATCCGTGAAACTGTTTGCGAATGTGTAAAACGAATGTGCGCGGCGGGTGGGCGAGAGCCACACTTTGAAAATGCCCCACCCTCCATCGGTGGAACTGTTGCCAATGTTAAGTTTCAGGGTCGTAACTGGTGAGGAAGTCTCAGGCGAAACGCCTGGCCCGTCCTAAACATTGGCCTCGGGGTGCGACAGGGACAACTGATTTGAATGACAAGAAATGGAGGAGGAGCAAGAGGAGGAGAAGGAGGAGGAGGGAATACAACTGAGGAGGAACAGGAGACGAAGATCGGGGATCCTGGAGAAGAAGGAAGAAGAGGAGGAGGCGGAGGTGGAAAAAGGGGGAGGGGGGACACGTGAGGAGGAAAAGGAGGAACAGAACGAGGAGATCGGAGAAGAAGAAAGAGGAGGAGGAGGAGGAGGACGAGGAAGGAAGACAACCAAAGGAGGAAAAAGGAGAAGAACGAGGAGAAGGGAGAAACAGGAGAAGGAGGAGGAGGAAAAGGAGTAGAGAGGACAACTGAGGAGGAAAAGGAGGAAACGAACGAGGAGAAGGGAAACTAAGGAAGCAGAGGAGGAGGAGGGGGAGGAAAAGGGGGGGAAGGACAACTGAGGAGAAGAACAAGGAGAAGAACGAACAGAAGGGAGAAGAAGGAAGAGGAGGAGGAGGAGAAGAAGAAGGAATAGGAGGAGGTAGAGGATGGTGACGACGAGGAACAGGGGATCGAGGAGAGATGACGAGGGTCAGTCAGGGAGAGGGGAAGGAGGATGGACGAGGAAAAGGACGGGAAGGAGAGAAAGGACGGATGAGGAGGGATGAGTGAGGATGGCTTTGGACTGCAGGCTCGCCGTTGCGTGCGTATCAAGTTGAGAGGGCGAAGGGAGGGAGAAGGGAGGAGGGAGGGTGGAGGAGGGTGGGTGAGGATGAGAAAGGACGAGCTGTAGGAGCTGGAGGGGGAAGGAGTGAAGAGGGAAGAGGAGGATGAGAGGGAGAGGGAGAGGGCAAGTTAGGTGCGCTCGCGTCAACATCTGACATCCTACCCCTCCCTCCCATCCCTTACCATGGCGCTGATTTTCTCTATCCGCGGACGCGTGTCGTAGCGGACCTGTGGCTCCGCGCGCGTGTGCGTAGTGGGTGGTGGTGCGCGTGCGTGCGTGCGTGTGTGCGTGGTTGTGGTTGTTGTGGTGGTGGTGTGTATGTGTGTGTGTGTGCGTGTGTGCGCGTGTGCTGTGGTGTGACGTGGTGTGGCGTCTTGGTGGTTTGGTGGTGGGCCAGGTGCGTACGTGCGTGATGGCGGTGGTGGTGTGGCGGTGGTTGTGTGTGTCTGTGTGTGTGCGTGTGTGTGTGTGTGTCTGTGTGTGTGTGTGCGTGTGTATGTGTGTGTGGTGTGCGTGCGTGCGTGTGTGTCTGTGTGTGCGCGCGTGTGATGTGGTGTGACGCGGTGTAGCGTGGTGGTGGTGGGTGGGGTAGTGCGGTGGTGGTGGCGGTGCGCGGTGGTGGTGCGCGTGCGTGCGTGCGTGCGTTGGTGGGTGGAAGTGGCGGTGGGTGTGCGTGCGGCGGGGCGGGGCGTGGTGCGGCGCGGTGGTGGCGGGCGGATGGGCGCGCGAGAAAGAGGCCCGCGCTGGGGCGAGAACGCCATCCTGAACGACGGAGGCAAAACACCGATCCGAAAATGAGGCCCACGCTGCAGCGGGAGCACGATTCGGAACGATTCGGGAGCAGAAATGAGGCCGGCGCCTCAGCGAGAGCAGCATTTTGAAACAAAAACGCATGCGAAAACCCAACTCCCGGGAATCCTGTGTAGAAAAACAGTACGCGGGGGGGGGGGTCTACTACTTTCAGGCCGCCTTCGGGGGAAGAGGGAGAGTAGTATTCATATTGAGTAATTGTAGAGGGATGTTGAGGAAAAGGAGGAGGAAAAGGAGGAGAAGGAGGAGGTAAAGAAGAGTAGGACGACGAAGAGGACGAGTAACGAGCGATCACATTGCAGTCAGGCTGCCTCCTAGCCCCAGTCGGGGAGGAGGAGGAAAGGACAATCATGATGTCATGATGATGCCTGCTCGGGGATGCCCAGGAGCTCCAGGATATCTAGCGGCCGTCTTTTCTGGAGCCCGAGCGAAACAGTACGACGTCTGGGAGTTCTTGGAAGTCTAGGAACACGTCATGCTCGTATGGCGCCCTGCTCCTCCGACAGGAGCAAGGGCGAACGATACCCAGACGCCCTCCCGTGACTGCGCCGAAGCGCGACCGAGCGAGCGCGCCACCCAGACAGAAACCTGGCCTGCTGGCCTGCTGGCGGTCAGCGCGTCGGGCCCAAGGGCAGGTTCCAGCACGAGGAGAGGCCTGTGACCATCGCCACGCCGGGAGCCCCCCCTTCGGACCACCAGACCGGCACCCTCTACAATTACACACTACGAATACTGCGCGCCTCTCTCTCTCTCTCTCTCTCTCTCCCCTGACTCTGTGCGGGAGATATTCGGCCCTCTCCGCCGCGTAGTGTTTTTGCGCACAGAATTTCAAACATTGTTGCTCTCATGGCTGCTTACAATCCGATCGTTTCAAAATGGTGCTCCCGCTGCAGCGTGGGCCTCATTTTCGGATCGGCGCGTTGCTCTGGTCGTTCATACTTGCGCTCTCGCGACAGCGTGGGCCACTTTTCTGGATCCGAGTCCTTTCTCATCGTTGTCGCCCCCCTTACTTCCCCTCCTCCGCCTTCCGCTGGTCATCATCCAGCTCCTCCCGCTCCTTCCACTCCGATTCCTGCTTCTGCTGTTCGTCCTCGTCCCCATCCTTTCACATCCTCCCCCTTTTCATCCTGCTCATCTTCCTGCTCGCCCGCCACCTCCTCTCTCTCTGTACGCAGCTCCCCTTCCCCGATTGCGCATGACAGGATGGGGTCGTTTGTTGGAGTTCGTGTTCGTCTATGACACGCGTCTGCAGACATAGAAACAATCAGCGCAATGAATGGGACGGGAGAGAGGAGCAGGAGGAGAAGGAGGAGGAGGAGGAGGAGGACGAGGAGGAGGTGGAGGAGGAAGAGCACCACAATCAGACAGAGAAACAATCAGCGCGATGTCAGCTGTGGCGCGAGCGCACCTCGCCTGCCTCCCCCCCTCTCTCCTGACCCACCCTTGCCTCATCCTCCTCCTCCTCCTGCTCCTCCTCCTCCTCCTCCTGCTCCTCCTCCTCCTCCCTCCACCTTCCTCCTCCCCCCTTCTCCCTCCCCCCGCCTCCCCCTCCCTCCTCCCTCCTCCCCTTGTCTCCCTCCCCCCCCTCTGCCCAGACCTCCTCGCGTCGTGAAACCTGGGGGGTCAATCTCGGCCCCTGGGGACCCTCACTCGGCCCCAGCACCGTCACAGATCAGCCTCGGGTGCAAAACCGGCCCCAGGCAAGGTGTCTGTAGGCCTCGGGAGCTCCACCCCCGGGCATCCGCCAATGTGAGGTCTGCAAGCCGCAGCCCCGCAGGTCCCGAGCGCTTTCCCGGGGGGCAGCTGTTCGGCCCGGGTCCACTTTTGATCGCCCCGGGGGCCCGGCAACGGCCTCAGCTGCGCGCAGGAGTGACCTTTAGGCAGGAGTGGCTCTCCGTGCCCGACTCCATGGGGCCGCGGGGAAGGCAAATCCACGCGCGCAGGCCAAAGGAGGGGTCCTCGTGGGCCCGCAGTCGAGGTCACTCCAGCGAGAGCTTACTCCTGCGTGGAACTGAGGGCCATCCGGGGCCGAGAACGAGGGAAACCCGCCAGAATGACACAAACCAGATCGTCGGAGACCTGGGAATGTGTGAGGAAACGCAAATGCGACGTCGGGGATCGCGGCCCCCCCGCCCCATCGCGCCCACTACCACCACCGCAAGGGGCTCGGAGGGAGAGGGAGGCGGAGAGGGCCATCTCAAAGTCGAGCCCAAGGAGCTCTCCCATGGCGCGCCCTGGTCGGGACTTCGAGGCGGACCCTGTCGGCCGCGGCCACGGGGGCCATGCCTTCTGGGGTCCCCAGAAGAGGGCGGGACACGGCCGAGGCTACGCCGCAGATCCAGACATCCGATGGTGTGACGTTTTCAATCCGCGACGCCCCAGAGGTCTCAACCTCTGAGGGCAGCTGTCATCCTGGATCCACTTTTGATGGTCCCAGGGCCTGGTGACGGGCACTGAGGCAGAAATTGAGGAAACACGCAGGATGTAAAAACAAGCATCAGAATAAGGGGGCCGACCGGTCGTTCATTGCCCCTGGGTGCGTGACAGAAGTGGTGTTCCTTCCATGGAAGTTCGCTTGTGTTGGACTTTCATCTCGAAAACATGATTGTTATGGACTGTTTCGATTACAGTGCTCCTTGCGGGGCTCGCACCCTGTTGTCTACAAAGGAAATATTGCGCCTCAGATTCTGCTGCTGGCCCCAAGTTTACCACAATTTAAACAGGGATCGCGCTCTCGCATAATACTTTCTTGCAGTGTATTGACGCGCCGCGCCCCCAACACTCAGAAATCACGCGCGCGCTCTCTCTCTCTCTCTCTGTGGATTCCTCACGATTTTGTTGGGAATCGCGCTACCGCTCGAAACTTCCTCGCGATTCATGTTGGATTGGCGCTTCTGCGACCCGTCAGCTCGACTCGGCCGCTGGGCCCGCCCGCCCGACCTGCCTGTGAGGGTCCACCCGCACGACCCGCCCGTCTGGTTCTGCCGTTTTTACTCCTGCTCCTCAACACCTCCTGGAAATCTATTTCGTGCTCCATCCTTGTCCTTCCCCTATGTCTCTTTCATCTTCCCTCCTTCCCCTATGTCTGTTTGACAGGCTGCGACTACTACACGTGGCAGGTAAGGAAGATATACCCCCAAGGGGAGCACGATCGAAGACGATGAGGGCGGGTATCGAGAGCTTGGGATTCACTTTCGAGTGACACGTGAGAATATGAAAACGAGCAATCTGGAAATTGCTGTTGGATGTTCATTTCTAAAAACAAAAACTGCTGATCCCCCCTGGTGACCATTGTATGTTTCAGTCGAAGCGCTCCTCCTGGGGCTCGCACCCTGTTTTTGATCAGGAAAAATCAGTGGTCACCAAATTGTGCCCTGGATCCTGGTTTACAGAAACAGCGGCTCCCGCCTGATACTTCCTCTCATTATATCTATATGACCACACTTTGGTTGATAAGGAGGTTGGGAGGGAAAGAGCCAACTCGGTCGTCATCGGTCTCACTATCGATCCCAGTAACGATTGGGACACCGTTGGACACCACGGGACTCCGCAAGACACCGCTGGGACACCCTGGGGCACCACGGGACACCACGGGGTACCACGAGAAACCATTGACCATTGGGACAACACGGTGGGACACCGCGGGACACCATCGGGACAACGCGGGACACCATCGGGACAACGCGGGACACCACAGAGGGACATTCCCAGCCGCCTCGAGCCCACCGGAGGGCCGGACTTTTGTATCCGAATCGCCTTCGCGACGGCGGCATCGTTCCTCTCGCGCGCCCACGGCGCGACACGGCGGGACACCATCGGGACACCGCGAGGCACCACGGCGGGACATCCCCAGCCACTGCGCGCCCACCAGGGGGCTGGACTTTCGCAGACTTTCGCATCCGCATCGCCTCTCGCGCCCTCACGCGGGTTCGCCCCGCCCGCATGCACAACACGAACCCGAAACCGAAACCGACTTTCCGGTGGGGGGGCTCTCCGTTCCACTGCGATCTCAGCCCCCGACCTCCGATTTCAAAATCGTGCCCTCGCGGAAGACTAGTGCGTGTAGGAATCGCGCTCTCGCGTGGGACCTTCTCGCACTGTGTACAAATGCCACGCCCTCGACGCTCAGGAATTGCGCTCTCGCTAAGGCATTTCTTGCGATTCACTTGGGGGTCGCGCTATCGCTCGAGCCCTCCTCGAGATTCATGGAGTACTCACGCTTCAGCAACACGCCTGCTCGACATGGCCGCTTAGGCCCGCCTTCCCGACACGCCCGTTGGGGTCTACCCGCCCGATCAGGCCGTCTGGTTCTGCCACGAGTATTCTGCGCCTGGACCCCCTACAAATCTGTCCCGTGCTCCGTCCCTCTCCCTCCCCCTTCCATCCGTCCTCTTTTCCCTTGCTTTAGGGGCTGCACCACTTACACGCGGCAGGTGGGGGAGATCTACCTCCAAGGGGGCGCGATCGAAGACGAAGAGGGCGGGTATCGAAGGCTTGAGGTATACGCGTTGAATGGCACGCGAGCAGGTAAGAACAAGCAATCTTGGCATGATTGTTGCTGTTGTCGTCGTCCTCGCCCGCGACCCACCCCGCGACCCACCCGCCACCCACGGGCGATCCATCCCGCGCCCGCCCCCTCATTCTTACCCGCTACCGCGGGGTGCCACGCATCCTCGGAGACCTGAGAAGCCCTCCCTCGGCCCACCTCTCATTACGGGAGGGCAGCACGGCGCCGCGGTGGCCGACAAGGCGAGGGCGTCGCGCCTCGCCAGACCCCGACGCCGTGATTTTCCCACAACGTCGACGCCCTGGCGTCTCGACTCCTTCGGCGTGGCTGGCTCTTCGTCCCGAGTTGTGCGTGGACGGCCCCGAGGCCCGGCGAGGGCCCCCGAGGGGCCGAACCTGGCGGAAAACCTTCCGTCCTGATCCGTGCGTGGCCCGAGGAGGTCTGGGCTTGGTCCTGGCCCGCCGCGTCGGAGCGCGGCGACTGCGGCCGCGCGACCTCCTCGCCGCCCAGCGCCGGGCGCCCCGCCATCTGCCGGGCTTGCGCGCGGCGTCGGAGGGGGCGGCGCCCCGCGACGGGGGCCGCGCGCAGAGGGGGGCGCCTCTGGCGGCCCGAGCGAGCGGCTCCCGCGCGGCGCTCCGGCGCGCCCGCCCTCGCTGCTCGTCAGGAGGGGCGGGCTCTGGAGCCGAGAGGGGCGGCGGGCGCTGGCAGGTCGACGGCGGGCGGTGGCAGGTCGACGGGGGGGGGGGGCGCGGCGGGGGGAGGTGTCGTGGAGGGAGAGGGAGGGTGGGTGGGAGGAGCGGGGACGGGGGGGGGGCGCAGGAGGAAGGGGGGAACGGCGGCCGAGGAAGGGCCAACGGGAGCAGAGAGCTGCTGCTGCTGCTGCTGCTGCTGTTGCAGCTGCTGCTGCTGCTGATGATGGAGATGATGGTGATGGTGATGGTGATGGTGATGGTGGTGGTGGTGATGATAATGATAATGATAATGATAATGATAATGATAATGATAATGATAATGATAATGATAATGATAATGATAATGATAATGATAATGATAATGATAATGATAATGATAATGATGATGATGATGATGATGATGATGATGCTGATGATGATGATGATGATGATGGCGTTGATGGTGATGATGGTGATGATGATGATCCTAATGATGATGCTTATGATGATGCTGATGCAGATGCTGATGCTTATGCTGATGCTGATGCTGCTGCTGATGATGATGATGCTAATGGTAACGATGGTGATGCTGATGATGATCATGGTGATGATGATGATGATGAGGATGACGATGATGATGGTGGTGATGATGATGATGATGATGATGATGGTGGCTGTGGTGGTGGCGGTGGTTGCGGTTGTGATTATAAACTAAAGCTTGTCTGATGACGACGATTGTGACGATGATGGCGATGAGGATGAGGATGAGGGTCATGATGACGCTGGTGGTGATGATGATGGCGAAGATGGTGATGCTTATGATTTTGGTGATGACGATGGTGATGATGGTGATGATGAGGAGAAAGGTCCAGATAAGGAGCAGAATGAGGAGGGAGGATGAACGAAATATGGAGGCGGCTGGTTACGAGGAGAGGCCTGGAGATGAGCTCTCCATCACTCCCTCCTCCCGCCGTCCAACCCGATCGCTAAGAAAGGCAAGAAGAAATTCAAATTAGAAACGGGGTGGCGACCAGAGGACTTCGGAGGTCTCATCAGGCCTCTGGATGCCTCGGGGAGTTAATAGATGTGCAACGACGTGTGAACACGTCGATCCGCGATCCTCCAGGATCGCGAGGATGAAGCTTGCCAGATCATATCAAGCATTGGGGGTCTTTCCTCTGTTAATCAGGCAGCGCTTGACCCCTGCGAGCTGTACGGATGCAGAAGCTCACCTCTGATGGGCTTACCTACTGTGGGAGGGACGGAGGCAGGGAGGAAACGTTACCCTAAACCTGGCGGCCCCACTTGCTTTTTCTAATCCTCTATGCCGTGAAATGTTTCTTTCGCCAGCTGGCAACCCTACTGATACCGTATTGCCGAAGTCGACCGTCTTTGATTTGCATCGCACTGCTGCCTGCACGCTGCGATCACCCGACCATCGCCTGCGCAGCGTAAACGGAGGAAGGAAGGACGAGGGGAAGAGCGCCCTGAGACGGCCCAAGAGGCGCCCAAGACGACCCAAGAGGCGCCTCAGACGGTCCCGAAACGGGCCCACACAGGGGGAAAACTGCCCGAAAATCCGAGCCGTCCGCCCCAAGAGGCCCCAGGAAGCCCCAAGAGGCGCCCAGGAGGCCCCACGAGGCCCCCAAGAGGCCCCCAAGAGGCTCCAAGAGGCCCAAAAGAAGCCTCAAGCGACCCCCAAACGGCCCTGAAGTGGTTCTTGACCAGACTCAGTACCACTTGAGACATATAGACGACATGCTTCAAGTGGTACTTAATTGTCACCGATTGAGGAACATCGACGATACGCCTGAGATGACACTTCGCTCATACAGGCGACGCGCCTCAAATTGCACTTCTGCGTTGCCACTTGAGGCTTGCACGCGAAATGCTTCAAGCGTTCTGTTTGCATTAACGTCTGACGATCACCGCTCATTCCAGAAGGTGCATCTCATTATCTACATTGGGTTGACTGCTTGACCTTTTGGTCGCGCGTACCTGGGAGCGCGTGGCCCAGACCGCTTTAAGCAGCCTGGCACACATCGATCATGGTAAAAACATGTGGGAACAACAACAAACCACGGGTAAAAAGAACGCCGACCGCTTTCAAGCAGCACAGCACCTGGTTGACACCCCCGGCTCGCACTAACTAAACGGAGCACGGAACGCAGTTGCATGCAGCTACCCATTGGAACTTGCTAGCCGCGGGGTCAGCGGCGCGCCCAAAGAAGGAATCGAACAGGGCAGAGCTGTTTAGTCAACGCCCAGGGCCTGTCCGGTCCCGGTGGTTTTTCCTCCCTTGACATCTGCGGCGGCCCAGGCCAGCCCCCGTCTGCGGGCCGCCGGGCCTTGGCGCACGGGCTGCCAGACCAAGAAGGCCGGGGGCTCCTGCGACCGCCCCGCGCCACGCCGACCAGCCACAACTGGGGGAGCTGTGGTCCTTAACCCCTGGGGGAACCCAGCGCATCGACGATCTCTCGAGAGGGGTGTCGAAATCGATGGGTCCCCCAGGGGGGTCAGGACCACAGCTCCCCGAGTTGCGACCGCCCCGCCACGGCGCCACGGCGCCAAGGGCCCCCGCGCCGCGGCGTCGGGCGCCGGGAGCTGCAAGGGCGCCGGTCTGGCCACGCCTTCGCTGGCCGCCGCCTTCCCGCCACCGCGGGTCGCCGCTGGGCGGCGCACCATGTTCCCCGGTGTCGATTCGTTGAGTGTTTGGGCCGCGGAAGCCCCCCCCACTTTGGGGCGTCGCCACGTCATGCTATGTTAGGCTATCCCAGGAGTGGCTTGAGCAGCGTGGCACTTGTCAGAGGTACGTGGACGACGAGAAGACACGGGTCTTCCGCGTCGCTCGTTTGGGCGGCGTGCTGAGATACCGCTTCACCAAGCTCCACCTCCTCTGGCCGATCCGCCCCTGCTCACGACCCCTCCGGAACTGCGACTTGCTGGTTGTGAACTCTGGCTGGCCAGGGAATGCCGACGGGAGGAGAGACTGGCACCAAGACGACCCGCAGGAGATCCGCAGGGAACGAGCGCGGCAGGGATCACAGTATAGCGCATCATAGGCAACGAAGGGGTGATTCTGGGCCTCGGCCACAAACAGGCTCCGCGACAGAGGTCTGAGGAGCGGCCCGGAAACCCGAGCCCCTCCTGAGCCCAGAGAGGTCCTTATTTGGGCATCGTGACTGTACGTCTGTGTGTGCGTGGGTTTGTGCGTGCGCATCGCTGAAACAAAGATGTCGGCACGCTGGTGCTCAGCGACCTCCACGACAGCAACGGCGCCGCCGACGAGGCCGAAGCTGCGGAGCAAGCCGAATGGGCCCGCTGGAACTGCGAGGGCGAGGAGGGGCCAATCCCGGCTGCCGCGGGGCTGCGCTCGACGCGGCACGGACCATTCGGGCTGGCTGTGGGGGCCGAGCGCGGCAGGGACGGCAGTGCACTATGCCAGCTGCTGGCACCCCGAGGGCGCGAAAGCCCAGGGCGGGCACCTTCGGTGGCTCGTCGGACGCCCCGCCCACGGCGAGCGGCGGTCGGCGCGCCTCAACCGGCCGGTTGCGGGGAAGGGAGGCGAGGCGGTGGTCTCCTCCAGGCGGGCGCGCCCATGCTGACCAGCGGCTGGCCCTGGGTGAAGGTGCGGAACCTGCCCAGCTCCTCGCGGGGGGAAGGGGGCGAGGCTGGGTGGACGGACCCCTGCGGCTGGAGCGTGGGTCCGCGAACGGGGGGCAGGGAGGGAGGGACGACGAGTACGACGACGGCGCGAGGCGATGCGAGGCGAGGCTGCCGCCGACCGCGACGCGGGCGCCTCGGGCGATCTCGGCTCGCAGGGGCGCGGCGGGGCTGTAGCGAGCTCCTCCGAGCAAGGGTATGCAGCAGCCAGGCCCAGCGTTCGTGCTCCCATGATGTAGCCCTGGTCCTCCCTCCCCCCGCCCTCCTCTACGTCATCCCCCCCTTTTACCCATTCCTGCTCCTCCCTCCTTGATGATGCACCTCCTCCTCGAAATACTCTCCCTCTGCCCTTCTTCTTTTCCTTCTTGCGGTCTTCGTCGGTCCTTCCCCCGAGGGAGAAGAGACGAGCGATGCGGAGGAGGGAGAGGTGAGGGAGGACGAGAGAGATGGGAAGACGGGAGATGGAGGAGGAGGAAGGAGGCGGGCGGCAGGGTGTTCATCCCCCTCCTTCTCCCTTCCCCCCCTCCATTGGAGGTTCACTGAAGGCATAGCAAATGCGCCCCGAACCTTCGAATGCGGTGCGGACGAGGCCGCAAGAAACCATCGTAATTAACCCAACCCTGGAAATCCGCGCGCGAAATGCAACTGTAGGGAAACCAAAAGCACCCTGAATGCAGCAGTTTCGTGACGCCCAACTGGCGGACCTTCTCCCTGCCGGCGATGTCCTGCAGGATGTGAGCGCGCTCTTCCTACTTCCTGTCCCCCAGAAGTCTCCGAGACGCCAAGAGGGGGGCCCAAACCGCCACAAAGATCCGAGAACCTCGACCATGGAACCTCGAGCATCCCCCGTCGCCGCCGCCGTTGCCGCCGCTGTCGCCGCCGCCGCCATCTCGGAACCGTTTAACCGACCCCTGTTCCCATGGGCGCGGCATGTGCCCAACCGGCCGACTTACCCCCCCTGGATGGGGATATGGGCCGTCTCCCCTTGCGAAGGGTATATCCTCGACTGGGGTGTTGGGTTGGCCGGGGGGTTGGGATGGGGAGGGGGAGGGGGATCCGTCAAGCACTACTGGCCATCGTCGAATATGCTTCTCGTCCTCGCCGCCGTCGTCATCGTCGACCTCCCTCCCAGCTGGTGGTCCTTCTCCCTGCCGACGATGTCTTGCACGATGTTGGCGCGCTCCCACCTCCTGCCGCGCGCGCGAAGCGCCCCCCCCCCCCCACAGGACGTGGACGAGAGGGAAAACATGCGTGGAGAGGGGCGGTGACGAAAAAGAGGCTATTCATCACTTTCTCCTCCTCCTCCTCTCTCCTCCTCCTCCTCCTCCTCCTCCTCCTCCTCCTCCTCCTCCACCTCCTCTTCCTCCTCCTCCTCCTCCTCCTCGGAGTCCTTCGCGACTGAAGATGTTTCTCCTCCTCCTCTTCTTGCCCTCCTCCTCCTCCTCCTCCTCCTCCTCCTCCTCCTCCTCCTCCTCCTCCTCTTCGAGGTCCTTATCGGCGGAAGCTCCTCCTCCTCCTCCTCCTCCTCCTCCTCGGCCTCCTCCGGAAGTTGGTCATCCCCGCAGCCGCTGAACGGGTCACCCGAGCCGAAACCACGACGCCGCGTCCCCCGCGGGCCTGCGCGCGCCGCCCCGGGGCCCCACGCACGCCAGCGAAGGTCGTTTCCGGGAGGGGGGGAGGTAGGGAGGGAGGCCGAGGACCAACGCTCCTTCATAATTGCTGGGCCTGTTTTCCGCCACCACCACCATGGTTGGAGGGGGGAAGGAGGTGGAGGAGGAGGAGGATGAAGAGGAGGAGGTGGGAGGAGGAGGAAGAAGAGGGGGAGGAGGACCCCCTCCCCCGTTCTACAGGGCACGGAGGAAAAGGGGAGGGACAGTGCTGCAAGGCCGCCCACGGGCTGTCGTAGCCGTTGCGGGTGACGTAGTACCTTGACTGTAGCGCTGTACATTGCGTACCTTGTCGGTGACGCTATGGACGACTCGCCCGCTCATCTTCTCAACAGCGCGTGGTTGCTGTAGGCGTGGCGTAGTGAATGTATCGATGTACACGTACTACCCTTGTCCGTAGCGCTGCACAACGAGGTACATGAGAGAGATGATATGCTGAAAACCATTTTCAGCGGCCTCTGGCAGGCCGGTCCCACAGCAACGATTGCGGTATACGGAGTGCCGCGCGCTGGAGCAGGCACGTAGTGTCATCCAACCAGCGGACCGTGGCGGACGTCTCGCCCAGCTTCTCCACGACGCAATCGTGACACGTCTTGCCGAAACTGCTCTGTACTGCGTCGCCGATGATGGCGATCGGCTTTTTGGCTGTCTGGGTTATCCGTGGGTCTTGATGTTCGTCTCGCGGCCCTCGTAATACAAAGGTTGGCCCTGGCAGCGCAGCTGGTGGTCCCCGTGGCCCTGCAGGTGGCTCCCGTAGCTCAGCCCGTGGGGGGCGCAACTTAGCTGGCGGCCCTCGTGGCTCTGCGGCCAGATCATATAGAACAGCAGGTGGCCCTGGTATGACTTCTGGTGGATATCGTAGCTCTGCTTGCGGCCCTCGTTGCGCACCTTGTAGCTCAGCTGGTTCGCAGTTTAACTCAGCTCGTTGCCCTGGTAGCTCTGCAGGAGGCTCTCGAAACTCTGCTTGCAGACCGCGTAGTCCAGGCTGTGGTCCTCGTAGCTGCGAGGGTGGAGTTCGAAGCTGAGCTGGTGATTCACGTAGTTCTGCCCCAGGCCCTTGCAGTTCAGCTCGTCGCTCTGGTAGCTCTGCAGGAGGCGTGTGGCCCTCGCAGCTCTAGTTGTGGCCTTCGTAGCTCGGGCAGTGGGCCCTCGTAGAGGTGCTGGTGGTTCTCGAAGGTTTGCACGTGCCACTTGCAGTACAGTTCGTCCTCGTAGCTCAGCCTGTGGTCTAAGAAGGTCCATTGGTGGCCCTAGTAGCTCTGCTGGTGGTTGTGGTGGGTCTGCTTGTTGCCAACGAAGCGGGTCTAGTGCCTCCGGTAGCGTAGCTGAGCAGGTGGTCTTCGAAACTCTGTTTGTAGCTCTCGTAGCTCAGCTGGTGGCCCTCGTGGTGCAGCTGGTGGTCCTCGTTGCCCTGCTTGTGGCCCTCGTCGCTGACCTTGCAGCCCCCGCGGCTCAGCTGGTGGCCCTCGTAGGCATGTTTGTGGCCCAGGTGGTTGAGCATGTGGTCCTTATAGCTCTGGAGGTGGCTCCCTTAGATGTGCATTTGGTCCTCGTAGTTCAGCTTGCGGTACTCGAAGGACTGGCAGTATTCCTCCTCGCTCTGCTGGTGGATGTAATGTGTCTGTCCGTGGCTCTCGTATCTCAGCTGGTGTGTTTCGTAGTTTTGTCTGCCCTGGTAGATCGGCTCGTTGTCCTCGGAGTTTTTGTTCTCTGAGATATCATAGTTTTGCTGCGCAGGTCCTCGCCGCGGAGCTTGGATGCCCTCCCCCGTGCTCGTACACCTCGCCCAACAAGTAGTCGGGGAGTACGCCCACCAGGTCAGAATGGGAGTCCTCGGTTGCCACGTCGTGGTCTTCCGCGTTCTGGGTGCAAGTCGTGGTGTTCCTCGGACTGGCATCCTCCGCCTTCCTTTCCTTTATTTTCCTTTCCTGTCCTCCTCCTCCTCCTCCTCCTCCTTATCCTTACCCTCGTCCGCCTCGGCTTGTCGTCCTAGCGGCTCGGCTGGTGGCCTTCGTAGACCTGCTCGTGGCCCTCGTAGCTCTGTGCATGGTCCTGGTAGCTCAGCCTGTGGGCCTCGTAGCTCTGCGCGTGGCTCGCCTAGCTCAAATAGTAGCTCTTGGGGTCGAGCTGGTGGCCCTCTAAGCTCTGCCTCTTGCTATCGTCGCTTTGCTGGTGGCCCTCGAATTTCAGCTTGTGGCCCAAGTGGAGTCCAGCCGTGGCAGCAATGGAGGGCCGTGCGGGTAGGTCCCGAAGGTCTGCCCCTGGCCCTCGCAGATCAGGCAGCGGCCTTCGCAGCCCAGCTGGTGGCACTCGTAGCTCAGCAGGTGGCTCTCGTTGCCATGGTGGTAGTTCTCGCAGGCGGTCCTCGACCACGTGATGGTGGTCGTACTGGTTCCTGCTGAGGTCGGATTGGTCGTACTGGTCGTAGTCGCAGTCGGCGTAAACGGCGTAACCGCGGTCCACTGGTATCCCCACGACGATTTACGTTGTGTCGTACGTGATGTTGCGGTTTGTGTCGTACTTGCTGTCGTACCTGGGCGCCCTCGCGAAAGCGGCCGTGGCAATGATGATGCAGTCGCCCGGTCGAGTTTGTATACCATGTCTCACGTTGTGACCCCTTCATGCTTGGGTCAGGTCTGTTCACGCCCGTACTCCTCGACGCTTGTATGGTCTCGGCATGCTTGGCAGTGGGTCTCCACCAGGGTGGGTAGGCCTCGCAGCCGTTGCAGTCGCGGTCACCTTCTCATTCATGCTTGGGTCAGGTCTGCTCGCGCCCGTACTCCTCGACGCGTGTATGGTCTCGGCATGCTTGCCAGTGGGTCTCCACCAAGGTGGGTAGGCCTCGCAGCCGTTGCAGTCGGGGTCACCTTCTCATTCATGCTTGGGTCAGGTCTGTTCACGCCCGTACTCCTCGACGCTTGTATGGTCTTGGCATGCTTGCCAGTGGGTCTCCACCAGGGTGGGTAGGCCTCGCAGCCGTTGCAGTCGCGGTCACCTTCTCATTCATGCTTGGGTCAGGTCTGTTCGCGCCCGTACTTCTCGACGCGTGTATGGTCTCGGCATGCTTGCCAGTGGGTCTCCACCAGGGTGGGTAGGCCTCGCAGCCGTTGCAGTCGCGGTCACCTTCTCATTCATGTTTGGGTCAGGTCTGTTCGCGCCCGTACTCCTCGACGCGTGTATGGTCTCGGCATGCTTGCCAGTGGGTCTCCACCAGGGTGGGTAGTCCTCGCAGCCGTTGTACAGTCGGCCTTGATTGCACAGGAAACGCGAGAGGACACAAGACCCTTCCGAGGGTCACATCGCCATAAGAGTGTAAGAAGGCACGTGTCGCGAGGCACAGGACACAAGGTACCCTTGAGTTGGCAGGGTCGACCTACTAATCCGGGCCGACTGTAGTCGCGGTCACCTTCTCGTGGTACGCGCGCCGCCCGCCTCCGACCGCCTCCGACGGCGCGCTGGCGCACTGAGGCCGGCCCCCCCGAGGGCGGCCGCGGGGGCAGGGCGCGGCGCCGGGGGCGAATGCGGGGGACAGAGTTCCCGCAAGCGGCCTTCTTAGAGTGTCTCCTCCTTCTTCTCCTCCTCCCCCTCCTCCTCCTCCTCCTCCTCCTCCTCTGCCTCCCTTCGAGATCGGCACCCCCGAGGCGAATACACCCGTGGTGACGAAGGGGCCCCCGATAGCACAGCGGAGGAGACACATGATGGGGATGGGGAGGATACACACTTCCCCCTTCACTGGGTCTTCAGGGGGCCTTCTCGTCGCCACGGGCCCGACCACCACTGCTGGTGAATACCTGCGAATACGGGCGCACGCAAGTGTGCAAATCTTTGGCCCTCCCGAGTATAAGCGAAAGGACAGGTGGCGATCCAGTATCAGAGCAATCAGTAGCAGGAGCAATTTCGACCATACGCCCATTCTGGAAGAAAATGACACAACATAAACAGAAGCTGACGACTGTCCGCCGGAGTTCTTGGATCTGCCGGAAGCGCCGCCAGGGAAAGCCCAACGCAGATCCAAGAAATCAGAGGGGACCGCCAGATGTTTATGTTTATGCTGTGTCTTCCCATCGCTCGGACGTCCATTCCCCGTGCATGTGTAGGTTTCGTGCATGCTTTTTGCTCGATGATCCAGGATACTCCTCGATGGCCTCGTCGAGAAAGTGTACACGTCCGAGCGATGCCAAGGCTTTCTCTTCTTCGACATTCGTACGGTCACCGCCTGTGTCCACGCGGACTGGCACGAAGCCAAGAGTGTGAGGGAGCACCCCGCGAAGCAGGAACCGAACGGTTGGGCAGGCCGCGGCCTTGATGGGGCAGAGCTTGCCAAGAGCCTCAGGCCACGAATCGGCCAGCTCCCACAGCGGGTCGAGGACCTCACCGCCGAGACGGACCACTGCCAGCAGGGGAGATGTCGACACCTATCCTCCACGTCGTGGCGTTCTCGAATGGACCGCGGCGTGGGGGCCCAACTCGGGCTTATGCGGAGGGGGGCTCTCCTCCTCGATGCTAGTGGGCGCGCCTCCGGG